TCGTACATCATCTCCATTTCTTTCCAACATGGGTCTCTATGACTTCCCTATTTTCACTCCAACCCTTATTTGTACGTTTTCCTTTTACTCTTTCGTCTAAGAGTACGGTCATGAGACAACAACCCAAAAAGGTGCACGACAGTGTATGGTTAATAGTTGTGAAAACTGAACGTAATTGTAGTTCTTGGTGTTTTGTGATCACTGGCAAGTTTCACTGGTGGTACTAGATATACTTTTGGCGTGATTTTATTTGTAACGCGTTTCTTCTGCAACAAATTGGCAAATAAAATCTTATTTAGTATACTGTTCATCGTTCACATTGCTTTTACTCTGCCATATTCGCGTTGACCTGTGTCGCACTTTTTTGTTGTGTTTTCACCGATATCTGCCTCCATGTATACATGAACGAAAACGTCAACCAACAACAGCTCATTGGTCACCGGAATACTACAAAAGTATATGTGAAATCGCGACAAAATCCCCGGTCCTATTGTCTCGTGAGTCACTGCGTACCGAGTTACAGCACAGCTTCGCACTCAGTCCGAAAAACCTTTCGCAGGTAAGGGTTCAACCATGATGATTATCATTTTTGACCAAATTTCTGTTCACATCATCATTTGGTGGAAGGTGTGTGTGTGTGTGTGTGTGTGTGTGTGTGTGTGTGGATAGAAAATAACTGATGCACACCTGAGTTTGGGATGACTTATTACATGCAGTGATAATACTCTTGATTTCGTTTGTTTGATAGACAAGAAGAATGCAAACAACATTTAGGAATTAGGCTACGACCGACCACCAACACATAGCAAAGTAGTTTAGCCAAGATGAGGTCGGTCACATCACGAGCCAAACAGCCTATACTGGTTGACCACGGTCACGTCAAGATCTTTTGCGGTCTCATATTTTGGAGGGGGGAGTGTATTCAATGGAATCAAACAATTGGTAATAATCGTGCGATTACCTGACACCCAGTAGGTTTCGGAGTCGCAGCGAGGTGGAACAATGTGTACGTGAAAGTTTTCTTATGGATTACTATACTGATTAAAAACGGAATTCATCTGCGCCACTCCCAAGGCTTTATAATATGACTTGACGATCAGGGTGTCATGAATACGAGCGTTTTGTTGTCTGCTTCCTGTGTATTCTTGATTATCTTATCCTTTAACTTATGTTTCTCAGTAAAGTTTGCTTCACTGTATTTCGTTGTACGATGATGATGATGATGATGTTTCTCTTATCCTCTTGGTCTTTTGGTGGATTTGTTTACTTTGTGAAAAAAATACCGAGATAGATGAATGTGTGCTGAATGAATGTTCCTATGACCAGAACTAAATTCAATGCTTCAGGTAGTTCTAGTGCACAAATTAGTTACCGCTTGTAAGATTCAATCGACGTGTTAATTTTTTTCCACTCCTTTTTCATCGTATCTCCTGTGTGATGTTTTCAGCTCCATTTCTGCACCTAGAAGTAATCATTTCGAACGGTATGCATGGATGTACATTGGGTGTCCACGCCCAACTAGGTAATGAGCTATCGCTTTATCCGGGCCAGGATGAAATTTGTTCGTTGTTGTTTGCTTCATATTTCTCTCTCGCACGCTCACAGATTGTGCGTACTTAGGTAGAGCGTCATCGCGGAGCCAGTCAATGGTATCTAGGAGGATCTCATATGTGGTTGTTCAATTTATGGTATCAGCGAAGGCTTTGGTCAAAAGTGATTCCGTTGTCTCTCTGTCTCGTTCAATGTGACACTTTCTCTATCGTGTGCGCTATGTGAACTCTCTGTGCTTAAATTGAAGCTTATTCTTTCTATTCAGAGACTCCTCGTTAATCTTGACTTCCCCTCGAAAGCTATGTGCTGTATCGCTGATCATTGCATCAGAAAAGTTTCTATTTTCCTTTTTGTTGGGCACGAAGAATCTTATTTTTTTTTCATGCTCTGCTCTTTGTATTCGATCTTCCCTATGTCATGAGTTTGACGAAATCACGAGTCTGCAGGTTACCAAGACTAGCGTCACCTGCTTTTGCTGTTGTTGTCACCGCTACCTCTACCGTTTGAAATACAATCAGTTGACCGTAAATGGTGCTACCCGAGTGGTTACCACAATCCTTGATTTTTTTCGCTCACTCAAAGTAGTCCGCTCCTATAGTTTGTTGGTCGTATGACCCATACTGGTTCTGTTGACATAGCTTTCTTGTTCTTGCCAGTATTAGACGTTTGCTGATACAGACTTACTTCAGTCATTGGAACAATCACAATTGCTATTANNCAATCACAATTGCTATTAAACCTCTTCTTGTTGGTATCTTCAACATACTCGAAAACCATAGAGTTTTCTTACCCTCGATACACATATACTAGGTGCTTTGCGAAAACAGAGTATACTGTTCAATAGAAAAGATGTCGGTGAGTTTTTTTGGTTCAGTACTGATCGAATCGCCTCCCTTTGAAACCTTGAGGGATTATATAAAACAGTGCAAATGGTCTGTTTTCCGCATCTCAAATCAAGATTTCCCTTGAATCAATTAAAACTCGCAAATTGTTTTCTTCTGATCGGGAATATGGTACGCGAATTATGCAGATAATGAACCTAGTCGACGAGAAAGAATCTATATACTAGTGGACGAACAGAACCAGGTTAACGCTATGCCACAAACACCAGAGATCCTACCTCCGGTGGTACTGAAATGTTTTCCAATTACCTGGCACGGCGATTAGACGTGAATAAACTCAATCTGTTTTATGTTTGCTTGTATCACATTTGTACACTTTGAACCTGAAATCCAGTGCATCGTGGGAATACTCACTATCGCTCTTAGAGACCAGTTGCAACCTGTTCTACCTATACCCAAGGAACTTTTTTACTGACCTACGGTTGCTCGTGTTTTTCAAATACCCCAGGAGTTCACGTTTACCATAGCGTTTGATGACGTTTTTGATTGTTTTGTACACCAGAAGCCGAGCAGCCCGGTTACCGCAAACCGCTAAGATGAAAATATGAAAGGAGGCGACCATTTGGTTAACTGATGGTTTTCTCGAACTGTGACGGTTTTTGCCCCTGTCTTGTTGTATTTCAAACTGAAACTGTAACCAATAGACCTCTTGCTATTCCGAAGCTTGAAGTTTGAACGTCATTTCTTTTCCTCGTGATGCTTTTGATTTTTGGTGATGGTACATCTTCCTGATGATCAGCAATCCACTTCCGTTGTGATCTTGGCTGTTGCCGTCTGACTGAAATTCACATCTAATCTATCGAATCACAGCCTCAGATTGCATGCCTAATCAGTTTCTAATACTCAATTTGCGAACTGTATCCATTTCACAGCATGAATGCCCGGCTTCGCTGAGTGCGTTATAGCCATTCATTACACTGAATTGGTAAAGACTGTTTGCTGGTTTCATGTTTTTTCCAATAATACTTTCCTTCCACAGGTTGCTGAAGATACGTTGTTGAATGTGTCGCAAATTATTAGGTCCTTTTCTAACAATTTCTCACAAGTTTATTTGTTCATGCTAGCTAACAAATTGTTTTCGGGTCGGTTGAAATTTTTCCCAACTTTATATTTGTTGTGTATCGACAGCTTTTTCCTACGTTTGTTTTGAGGGCATTCATTATTGATGTACCGCAACACGCTTTAATGTGAGATCAATTGCCGGATCGTGGAAAAGAGGAGGCCAGTGATACGTTCTTGGTGGATTTTAGTTGGGTTAATTAACCAGTATTTTCCAGATCATCGACAATCCACACGTTCGGTACTCTGAAGTTACCGTCCCTTTTCATTGAGCCCAACCACAGTTGAATGGTAATTCTACCAAACTGAATCATAGGATCATACGGTCACCCACATTGAAGGTTTTCTTGGTGCTTCGTCTGGCTTGACCACGTGCATGTATTACTGGATTAGATTCACTTCGTGTTTATTTTTCCACTTCTTCCTGTCGCCTATTTTCCAGTTTACCTGTCATCATTTAACGGAATCGAAGGAGTTTGGTTTCAATTGGCTCTATTCAAGTCTCTTACCTGTTTTCACCCCTTCTCACGTAAGCTGAGATCCGAATGAAAGCTATACGAGTGAAGTGCTTGTCTACGCTTGCCGTGTGTCTTTGCCTATGCACGCACGCAGGCGATGAGACTTCTGCTCGTTCCCATCTACATGTCTGTGTTTGCATTTCTTCTCTTGTGTATGCAATGGAACTGGACTAGTGTTCTTCGTTCTTTATTCACTGATATGTGTCAGAGCTTGATCAAAAACAATCAGTTAATAGAAATCTTGCACTTAGTTCCTTCTGTTTTGATCCCAACCTGCACTTATATTGCAACCTCTCTCTCTCTCGTCAACATGTATACAATCGTAGTTATGTTAGCACGCATGTGGCTTGCTTTAACTGGCCGTCACGGGACAGTCACTAGTCGATCTTCGTCTCACATTGAAATAGGTAGGGCAAATCGGTGGTCGTCATGCTCTGATTTGTCAACCCAACTTATGATAATGGCCCGTTCATCATTAATAATACATTAGTACGTGTGCACACGATCATTCACACATCTGTGCTTTCATCCCTCGCATATGATATTAAATTATACATGTGAAGAGATGCGATTTGTTTTTACTGCAGCATTGGAATCTATCCGATTGACGGTGATTGTTATTATTTTTTTGTCTTTTTTTACTTTCTTCCGATTCAAAATGGTGTTTGTCTCTCAATCTTATTTTAAGGCACGAGTGTTAAATGCTTTCACTTTTTGTACATTTGTGGAACTTTTCGTGTGTGCAACACGAAATGCACGCATACCACGCGGTGATTTGGTTCGTTCACCGCCTCCATCCACTTTCTCTCTCCTTCATTCACTCCATTCCTTGAGATTCACTCAATTACTGAGCTGCTTCGTCAAGTTATTATTGTACTATTGGTGTTACTATTGCTTTCAAGCTTTTTGTTTCCAGTGGAAATAGTTCGGTAATCTTCTTTCTCATTCTTCCTTCCCGTCCTTGTTCTAGACTGATCTGACTGAATTGCGTACTCGATTGTGCATTCTTTTGGGAAACAATGCAGAAGCAACCTCGTTAATTCATCGAATGAACGGGACGCATTGTGTCTATCTGATGGCCGTATATAGACTGGAATCTCTCTGGTGAGTTCAAAGACTATGCCAAATGGTGAACTATGTATTTATTCTCATGATAATTCTACTACATGGCATTCTCTGTTGAAATAGGTCAATGTATGTATCGAATTTTGGTATCACGTTCCTCGTTCGTCTCATCATTTGGGACTTTCCGCTCGTCCAAGAGTAGACCATCAAAAAACAATTATCGGGATTTGGTGTGGTCAAATGCGAGCATACCGGTTTAACCAACTAACTTCATTCTATCCCGTTTGTGTCAGCTCCTAAGAGGATAGTCATCAAATAATAACTGATAGTATAGCGAATACGGTTTCCGATCCCAGTGCGAATACCTGTGGTTCGAGAATCGGTATGGATCATGAGATCCGCTAATAGTGGTGTTATCTGTGGGCTAGTACCCAAGTGGTGAATTTGCGTATGACTTGTAACTTGATGCGGCTCGTGTGCCGAATACAACGTTAACGTCAAGATGTGGAAACCCTACGCAAATGTAAGCTGTATAATGAATGGGGTGATGAGGATAACATTCAAATCCGGTTATGTGAGCGAAATACCGATTACCACAGGACTGACGCAACCGTGTTCACGCTTTTTAATAGCTTTGAAAACAACGCTTTTTTCCGTATGCGCTCACACAACTCAAGGTCTTCAATCCATTATACTCTCCGTTTTTCATTCTCTTCCTTAGTGTCACTCATTCCAACGATCCCGAGGCTCTTCATCGAATTTTCCTCTATCTGGAGGACAGTATCATTATCCGAGATAAATTTGGTAAGCTTGCCGCGTTCCGCCTCTTGTTCGTCTCATTAACGGTGGATTCCTCGCGTTGTGTTGGTAGAATGATTTAGGAGAATGATTTTCTTATTCTTCAATTGTTTGCCTAATGTTTTCCTTAACTCATCCAGCGGATCAATCAAATAGATATATTCAATAATAACTCGATCTTTTTTTTTCATGTTCATTTGACGATTCATAACATCTTTCAAATTTGGATCCATACTCCTGCGAATTTCACTTGGGGGAAGTGACCATTCAAGTAGATTCCATATAGAGCAAAGAGATGAGGTAGTTCGTCAGGCATGGTAATGCCAAAGAGTAAGCTTCTACCTCTACGACACAACGGGCGACTTTCCTATTTCCTCGGAAGTGAACAACTGTCACACGCATCAAGTGAGAAGAACCGGTGCATCATTTAAGAAAACTCAAGGTGCTCACTCCACTGCTCCAGGATGTCGAACGCAGTTGTAAAGAAAGTCGGCCGGTTTGAGTCAGCGCCTTCTCCCCCCCCCACCCCCGTCTGTTATCAGCATACACTCACCCACTCACAGAGTACGCTATCCTGGCATGAAATCCATGACTATAACGTGATTGCAAAATGCTGAAGCGTCCACAATGAATGGTTAGATGGTTGATTCATTATTCATACACAGAGAGACTGAAGTCGCTGGGGTTATATTTCACTCACTACCGGCGCATCAAAGGAGACATGATTATGGTATACCAACTAATGCAAAACCCAAAACATCCGTGTCGCTCGCTGCCAAAATTATCACCCAACGTTCATCGTGGAGGACATCCTTTCAAATTGATGATCTCAAAATGCCGTTTGAAAAACCGGCTTCAGTCATTCGCGTTCAGAGCGTATTCGGCTCGGAACTCTCTCTCGCCCCACGTCGTCTGTGCGTCAAGCATTGAATGTTTCAAACTGAGACTTGATGAAGCATTCGCATACCTTACATTCCAGCATAAGTGAAGCCGCGTGCAGCAGTGATAGAAGCCTGTATCATGTGAAATTTTATACAAGGAATTGTTTAATCACTGTCTTTTAATCACAACACGAACCTATGGAACGAAAAAAGCATGAGCTTGTGAGTTATTCCCATAATAAACCTTTGAGATCGGAACACACAACTTGCGGTGAAATGTGTGTTGGAGACCTTGACCGCTGATTTGCAGACTTATTTAGTCTGCGATATGTGCATCAAGGGAGGCAAGAACGGTTTTCTCTTTCTTTTGATTTCACTTGTTTTCATTAGGTCTGTGATCTGACTTTTTGAGATTACATGCCGTTTTATTTGGTTGTCATTGACCTTTCTGTCCACAAATGCATGTTCTTTTATTTGTTTGTTTTCTTGTTCTTCAGGAATGTGGACATGCATTACTCAAGTGGCGGTTCAAGTATTCAACAAATATCTGGCTCGAATGAAAGGAATGGTATGTTTAGCATATTTCCCTTCCAGTCTTTCCAGCAGCTCCGTATCTTCCTCCTCCTGTTGATAGCAATTTGTTGATCACGTTTACCGCCTTTTTGCTTTAAAATCATGTTATCGTCCTGTGCCTCGGTTTTTTTTACTTTATTGAGGCTGAGTTTCTAGACAACGTACGCCCTTTTCCTGAAATCATGAAAATTTCCCTCCG